AAATGTGAAATCTCCACATTTTTAGACATAGGCTAAAACAGAACAAAGCAAAAACTGTGGAAGTCCCCCAAAACATATCTAAAGGCCATAGCTAGCTCTTAGGTCATAAGTCTGTAACCACTGTATGACAAATAAATGAAAAACAAGTCACCAAAAAAAAAATTCAGGAAAAGCTTACTCAGTGCTATGATGATCCCAGCAGGATTGAGGGAAGAAAAGATTTGCAAATCTTTTAGAGTGGGGTCAGACAGGTCTTGGAATACCGGCTCTGCCACTTCCTAGCTGTGTGACACTGAGCAAGGCATTTAACTCATCTAAGTCTCAGTTTACTCACCTGTAAAATGGGAATAATAATAACGCCATAAAAGTTTACTGTAAGGAATAAATAAAGGAAGGCTTGCAACACCTTTGCCATGTACCTGGAGCAGTGTAATTGTGCAATAAATTTAATTGCTGAATGAGTAAGTGCTCTTAATAGTGTTTTGAGAGCTGCAAAGTGCTCTCCACAAGTGAGGTATGACTGACACAAGCTCCAGTCACACCAATTAGGGTTTGATCATTTGGTTTTATGAGGAGTTTCATTTAATATCTCTACTTGGATTTTTGAGGGCTTTCTGCACCTCTGCGAGGACCGGTTTGGATGTGCAGGACTCAGGAGCAGCCGAGCACTGAGAAGACAGTGCCACCAGCTGGTGAAATATAAGGAATTACCAACCACCCATGAATTGCTAGTTTATAAATATGAAACTCTCAGCATAGTTTTTATTCTTTTTTTTTTTAAGATTTTATTAGGGAATTGGGGGAGGGAAACAGTGTTGGGTAATTGAGGAGGGCGACCAGCCAAGTTGTTGTTCTTCAGTCTTCGTTATAGAGGGTGCCAGTTGCCATCTGGAAGCTCATGGCCTCTAAGCTCAAGGTGCTGTATTTTATCCTAGCTGTAGGTGGGCGTAGCCACCATCCCATGCGGGAGTCGAACCAGCAGCCTTGTTGTTAACAGTGCACGTTCTATCCACTGAGCCATCCGGGCGGCAGCTCAGCTCAAAATGCCGAGTTCAGCCTTAGTTGCGGATGGGCGTAGCCTACCAATGAACAGGCAATCTTGTTACATAGCTGAGCCATCCTGCTACCTGTTGGCAGCTCAGCGATAGCTCAGCTCGGGCGCAGTGTCACTGGCCCATGTGGGAATCGAACTGGTGGCCCTATTGCTCAGAGCTCGCACGCTCTTAAGCCAACTCTTAACCAACTGAGCCACTCAGCTGGCCCTCATTGTCTTTTCTTTGCATTGAAGTTTCAAAAACATAAACACTGAGCAGTCTATGTGTGCTTTCTTCGTGATTGAAGTCATTGTGAACTATTCATTTCATTGCTATGTTTTTTTACTTTTAATAAATTGTCCCAAAAGGGTTTACCTGGAACAAAATACCCTTTCAAGGTGTGTGTATTGGAG